GAACTTTTCGAGTAATAACACTTGAAATTTCCAGCACTTTGACATAGAATACAAAATATCTCGTAAAATATTCATCTTTCGGTTATCTTGTCTTAATGCTTTTTTGCGCAGAATAATGAGACAAATTAATTAGTTTAAAAAAAAAAAACAAAAAATTTTTTATATAAATATATAAAAATCTTTTTGTGCTTTTTTTATATATAATATAAATATATATATAATCGAATCGCGACGCCGCCGGTTAGTCCCTCGCGTGGGGGAACGCTGTAAGCGCCAAGACTAGGCAGCAACGGGTATAAAAGTGCCGCGCGATAATGCACTGATACCATTCCCGAGGCGGCCGTACGCATACCAGTACGACCCCCGTTCCGAATTCCTTGCCGGCATAAGCCAGTATCCTAGAACACCGCTACAACCAGGAAGGTGCGCTCATCCTTCTGGGTGTATCGCCTCCTACCGAATCCGCTCTCTGAGAGGCACGGGAACCAAAGGTGGCGCGCTCACCGCCTCGGTCAAGCGCTCCTGATCTCCCTGCCACTCAGAGATCCGACCGAGAGGAAAGGTGCGCTCATCTGCCCTCAAGGCCAGCACCACTTCGAAAAGCAGCGCAGCGGACGAGGGATATAGAGGTGACGAGCTCTGCCCCGCACTTGGGGCTCCCCAGCCGCTGCCTCCTCGAAGGCGCCTCCGCGCCACCCTCCTAGGCGTACCGCCGCAGCCGCCACCGCCGCGACGACGACCGTAACCCGCCGCCGCGTCACCGCCGTTCCGTGTCCGCAGGGAAGCCTGCGACAGGCGTCCCACACGCCGCGTTTAGCATAAGTCCGCGTTAGAATAAAACCGCGTCCGCGTTAGAATACCGCGTTAGAAGACCGCTTTTAGTATAAGTTTGCATTAGAATAAGACCGCGTTTAGTATAAGTCCGCGTTTAGCATAAGTCCGCAACCATATAAGGCGACGTTTAGTTGTAAGACCGCGTACAGTTGTAAGCTACAGTTCCGACCACAGCCACCACACAGTGTACACTGCCACAATAAATTATTTTGTTATAATTTTTAACCAACGGGCGCACTCTGCTTCACACACATCCACACACGCGCTCCGGCCGAACTCCAGGACACCGGCGAACTCATCCACCGCCGTCGGTGTCATGCGTGTTCGCGACGAAACGCCAAGGTCGTCCGATCGAACCGCGAGGCAAAGTCGTGACACAAATTGGCGCCCGAACAGGGACCTTGGCCACAGGACGACAGCGCGAGAATCGGGTGTATGTGCAAGGTAGAGTATGCCGTCGTGGATATTCCAGAGATCCAAGGCCGAATTGATCTTGGTTGCGAAGCAACTGCAGTTAGACGCATCCGGTAGCCTCGACGATCTAAGAAGGAGGCTAAGACAATATTACGCCATACTTCCAGGCATGGAGATTACCGCAACCGGGTCGACCCACACCACCGCCACAACCGCCACCAGTCAGGCCGGCACCTGCGTACCAGCCACCGACACAGCAACAATTATGTCGCAAATGCGCAAGTGGGGCTGCATATTTGACGGCCGAGAGCCCCTCGCCTTCCTCGAGCGACTAGCCGAACTGAGCGAAGAGTATGGCTATCCGGGTGAATATTTACTGAGGGGGCTACCAGAATTACTTAAAGGCGATAGCCTCCTCTGGTACAGAAACTGTAGAGACGAATGGAGCACGTGGGAAGATTTCGACCGTGCCTTCTGGAGGCAGTATCTGCCACCTCGCTATCAAACCCAGCTACGCAGGGAAGCCATGGGACGCACGCAGCGACCCGGCGAGACATATGTCAAATATGAGGTAGCCGTCACCATCTTGATGCGAAAGGCAGGCGGATTTCAGAGGACCGCCTACTGCATCTCTATGAGAATTTGCTCCCCGAGTATAAACTATACGTGCGACTGCACGATCTCGAAAATTACGAAGACCTGAAGGATCGGGCTACCGAATACGAAACCGTACGCGAGCAGCAGCGCACCACTCGCGCACCGACGGACGGACAACGAACTACGCCCGCCATCCGACGTCTACCTGTAGCCACCGCGAGCTACCAGCGCGAGGAGTGTTGCTGGCGCTACAAGCAGCGAGGACATCATGGCAGCCAATGCGCACGGCCAGCGAGATTATTCTGCTCCGTATGCGGGAAGGACGAGGTGCTAACTCGTCAATGCCACCCCCCGGGAAACGAGACACGGGTCGAGACTGTACCGGCCGCCGCTCGACCCTGAAGGTGCACTACCTTCCCCGGCCGCACATCGACCTGCACAACAACGGCCACACGATCCGAGCCTTATTGGACACAGGGTCGGAGATCTCCTGTGTCCAAGAACAATCTCTGAAGCGAATATGGCCAGGATATCGACTGAGGAAGACAGCCGCGACGGAGATTCGACTGGCCGACCGCACCGTAGTCACCTCGCCAGGGCAAGTTCAGCTCACAATACAAGTCCACCATACGGTTATACGACATGCCTTCTAGATCATAAAGACTCTGGACGCTCCCGTACTCATCGGGGTTGATCTGTGGGCGCGTCTGGGCATCCCACTCGTACCGCCGCTCCCCCAACAGCTGACCTCGCCGCGTGTATACCAGGTAAGCAACACGCACCCGGATGAGGATGAAAGATTGCGGACCTTTTTCGAGAAGGAACTTGAGGAGTTCCGACAGATTAACGGACCCACCGACCAGGCGGTCCACCGCATCCGGCTCACGAAGGACTAGCCGATCAAACAGCGGTACCGGTCTCGCAATGCGATGCAGCGAATTATCGGCGAAGAAGTCACAAAAATGGAAAACGAGGGAGTGATCGAACCGTCCAATAGCGATTGGAGCTCCCCGATTGTAACAGTCCGCAAGAAGGACGGCGGGCATCGATTTTGCGTCGACTTTCGAAAGCTGAACGCCGTCACCAAAAAAGACGCCTATCCACTGCCGTAGATCCAGGCGACCCTAGACAAGTTACGGGGGGCACGAGGGCTGATGCAATTCACCGTGATGCCCTTCGGCTTGCATTCAGCCCCTGCCACCTTTCAACGATTGGTGGACCGCGTCCTGGAACCAGCACTGGAGCCGCACGTATTCGTCTACCTAGACGATATCATCGTGACGAGCCCCACGTTCGAGGAGCATTTAAAGCACCTGAAAGAAGTATTCCGCCGACTACGCCAAGCCCGGCTACGGCTAAACGAGGACAAATGCAAGTTCTGCATCCCGAAACTGCGTTACCTCGGCCATCTCGTCGACAAGGACGGGATCCGCACCGACCCCGAAAAAATCAGCGCCATCACAGAATGGCCGACACCGCGCACCGTTCGACAGGTACGACAATTCCTCGGTCTCTCCTCGTGGTACCGACGATTCGTGCCGGATTTTACGAAGCTCGCGACACCGCTCACCCGCCTAACATACAAACAAACGAAGTGGAAATGGGGCGAGCAGGAGGAAGATGCATTCCAGGCGCTCAAGACTGCTCTCGTCTCGACACCCGTACTGGCCTGCCCCGACTTTACGCTACGATTCGTGCTGCAGACAGATGCAAGCGTACAGGGACTCGGGGCGGTGCTGACTCAGCACCTCGACGAAGGGGAATGCGTCATCGCGTACGCAAGCCGCTCCCTCAATAAAGCGGAGAAAGACTATAGCGCAACCGAGCTCGAATGCTTGGCCGTCGTGTGGGGAATCCGACGGATGCGCGGTTACCTCGAAGGGTACACCTTCACCGTAGTGACAGAACATCAGTCGCTACGGTGGTTACAACGGCTCGAGGCTCCCACAGGACGCCTGGCGAGATGGCTATTCGAATTACAGGAATTCGACTTCGAGGTACGATACCGAAATGGCGCCGCCAACAAAGTGGCGGACGCGCTCTCACGGCAACCCGTCGTCAGCTCCGTCAGCCAGATACGTTGTCCCTGGTATCAAGACCTTAAGCGACGTATCCGCCAGGATCCCGCAGCGTATCCCGATTACGATATACGAAGCGGACAACTCTATCGCCACCACTTGCACGAACTGAACTTCCAGGAGGTCCCCGCCGCCGCGCAATGGAAAGAATGTGTTCCGAAAGAGCGCCGAAGCGAGGTCATCCGGCGCCTACACGACGAGCCCACGGCAGGGCACCTCGGGGTCACGAAGACAATCAGTCGAGTAGCGCGCACATACTACTGGCCGGGGATGCAGCGCGATGTCGCCTGATACGTCCGCAGTTGCCAAAGCTGTCTGGCACACAAACCGCTCCAACAAGCGCCGGCTGGGCGACTCCACCCGCGACCAGTACACAGCCCATGGGAGCAAGTAAGCATCGACCTCATGGGACCGCTACCACGATCCACCACAGGGCACTCAAGCCTGCTGGTGATCCAAGATCGGTTTACGAAATGGGTTGAAATCATGCCCCTGCGAAAGGCAACTACCCGCGCGGTAAGTACCGGCATTGCAGAGCGGCTAATATACCGACACGGGTGCCCACAGGTAATCATTACCGACAACGGGAGACAGTTTGTAGCGCAACAGTTTAAAGATCTCCTCGGGACATACAAAATTCGATATATGACATCACCCGCCTATGTGCCCCACTGCAATCTTGTGGAACGAGCTAATCGGACGATAAAAACGATGATAAGGCAATACATAGGCCGAAGGCACACCAACTGGGACCAACAACTCCCCGCCTTACAGTTCGCGTTCAACACAGCGGTGCAGGAATCCACCGCGTATACACCGGCTTTTTTAAACACGGGAAAAGAACTCGCCATGCCCGCGAACGCCACCACACAGGAAGGGTGAACCGATGAGACGGCAAAAATCCGCCAGAAGCATCTAAACAACGCCTTCGAACTAGTACGCATCAACCTCGCACGAGCATATCAACGCCAGGAACGACATTACAATCTGCGACGACGGGCATGGAGGCCGAATATCAGGGAACACGTTTGGAAACGCGAGCACGTGCTCTCCAACAAAGCAGCCGACTTCCCCACCAAACTCGCGCCGCGCTATATCGGGCCGCTCGAAGTATGAGCCTTCCACTCTCCCGTCATCATCGATCTACGCGACCAACGAGGAAAATGGTACCGCCGTACACGTTCAGGATTTTAAGCCGGAACCGCTGAACGAATGTCAGGACAAACAGGACAAGACCGTAAACACGATCCGCGCTACAAACTACCAGTATAAAAGACACACGAGAAAAATAACATCTCTCAGATTCTTGCAGAATGACTCGCAGAGAAGATCGACAGAATCAACTGCTTGCCGACCTCGCGCTCAGCAGCGACGAGGACGCTCCCAGGAACGGTCGACCTAACACCGTAACCGATACGCAGAGTGCCGACGATCGGGACACGGGTACAGCGTTCCGACCACATCAACCGGGGCAAGCTAGCCTGGCTTACAGCCCTTCCGCCACCAACACCCAGGCCACGGGACAGGAGCCACTACCACCAGCACGGGAACCAGGGGCCCCCCGCACAACATGCCGACCGAGCCGAGCAGGCAATTGCGCCGCCATACGAAGACGCACCATACGACGCGACGTAGAAGAACGACCGCCACCGGCCGCTCGTCCGCCGCCAGCTGAGACCAGCAACCACGCCGCGGCCCCGTCCACAGAGCCGACCACCAGGCGCTTCATCGGGTCTCAGCCACCGCCGCCACTGAAGGTCGAAATCATCGAGGGACTATATGCCGACATCCCTCACTTCGCCGCGGACGTCTCGCGGCTATATCGGGTCTGCACCGAGACCGGAAAGTGGATCTTACGCTTCACTCGGGACGGCCAGCTCAGATCCCGCCGCTTTGTCCCTGACTGAGCGACGTTCCTTCCCAAAAACAGGGAGGGGATGTGACGAGACAACCGTCTCGTCATGACGACATGACCGAACATCCGTCGGGTCGTCTAACAGGTGCAAAGCGCCAAACAAATAACGATACACGCCGCCGCCGAATCGCGACGCCGCCGGTTAGTCCCTCGCGTGGGGGAACGCTGTAAGCGCCAAGACTAGGCAGCAACGGGTATAAGTGCCGCGCGATAACACACTGATACCATTCCCGAGGCGGCCGTACGCATACCAGTACGACCGCCGTTTTGAATTTCTTGCCGGCATAAGCCAGTATCCTAGAACACCGCTACAACCAGGAAGGTGCGCTCATCCTCCTGGGTGTATCGCCTCGTACCGAATCGGCTCTCTAAGAGGCACGGGAACCAGAGGTGGCGCGCTCACCGCCTCGGTCAAGCTGACCTCCCTGCCACTCAGAGACCCGACCAAGAGGAAAGGTGCGCTTATCTGCCCTCAAGGCCAGCACCACTCCGAAAGGCAGCGCAGCGGACGAGAGATATAGAGGTGGCAAGCTCACCATCTCTGCCCCGCGCTCGGGGCTCCTCAGCCGCTGCCTCCTCGAAGGCGCCTCCGCGCCACCCTCCTAGGCGTATCATTATCATTATTATTAGATGAGAATCTGTATAAAGATTTGGTATACAATTTGTATAAGTCTTATAAGTTATATTTTGTATTCGTCTTCTCTCTCTCTCTCTCTCTCTCTCTCTCTCTCTCTCTCTCTCTCTCTCTCTCT